CGAGTCAAGTTGAAAGTTTTTTCTCTTTTAAATTTTATTATGTTTTTTTCAATTTTATTTTCAAACTTTTTTAACGATCATCTGAGTTGTCTTTTAGTTAACCAAGTTGATTGGTTCATATTGAGACAACTCTTATTCGGTTTAGTTTTAAACCCATGTTAGGTGAAGAGTCGAGTTAAGAGATTTTAAGATTGGTTTGTTGAACTAGATTTAATAAAAATGTCAAATGCTATTTTACAATCATAACATTTTTTATTATGTTCAATTTATTTATCCAACTCACAAAGTGCACAAATCTATAAACTAATATTTTTTATTTTAAATCCATTTTAGGTAGGAGTTGAGTCAAAAGATTTCAAAATTGAATAATCAAACTTAATTTATAACAATATCAAATGATTATTTACAGTTAAAACATTTTTTTATTTCATTCAATTTTTTCCGTCTAGCTCACGAAATGGACAAGCCTATAAACTAGTATTTTCTTTATTATATGAATCACAAGATTCTCAACAATACATTATATGCACTATAAAATCAAATTAATATGATTTTTCTATGTTATATGTTAATAAATACCAATACATTATTTCCTTAAAATATCATGCTATATATATATATATTAGTTAGGTGTTTGCGCTACACCGCAGGCTTATTGTTTATCTTCATAAAAAAATTCATCAAAGTTTATAATAAAAATAATAATATTTATAACACAAATGATAATATTTTTAATATTAATACTATTAATTATAATAAAAATAATAATATTTGTAACACAAATAATTCTATTTTTCATATTAATACTTTTAATGATAATAAAAATAATAATATTTAAAATACAAATAATTATATTTAGAAACCTATGACCCAATAACCATGGATCGTGATGAAGGACCCAATATAATTAGGTCTTTCTGCAAGACCCATTAAGCTTAGGTCCTACACAGAACCCAAGTTGATTTAGGTGCTACCTCAAGACCCAAGCGATTTGGGTTTTGAGACAAAGTGCATTAGCACTGGGTCCTGCGCTAAACCGAAAGAGGTTAATAGTTGGGTCTGCATCCAAACCCAAAGGGTTGGGAGTTGGGTCCATGGGCAAACCTAAGTGGATTGGGGGTTGGGTTCGAGCCTGGACCCAAAGGGGTTGAGGGATGGGTCTGTATCCAAACCTTAGGGGGTTGGGTTTTGGGTCCTTCCAGGTTCGAACCCAAGAGAGTTGGGGGTTGGGTTTGTGTCCTCACCTCAGACCCAAGGGGTTGGGGGATGGGTGGGGTCCGTGTCCGGATCCAAGCGAGTTGGGGTTTGGGTTCTTCCGTGTCTGGACCCAAATGGGATTGAGGGTTGGGTCTGCGTCCTAATCCCAAGAGGTTGAGTTTGTGTTTAGGCCCAAGGGGGTTGGGTCCGTAGTCAGACCCAAAAAGGTTAGGGGACGAGTTGGGTTCCTGTCCGAACCCAAGCGGGTTTGGGTTTGGGTCCCTCCGAGTGTGGACCTAAATGGTTTGGGTCTATATTTGGACCTAAGGGGGTTGGGTCTGTCATGTCCAGACCCCAATGTGGTTGGGTCTGTGTCTGAACCCAATAAGGTTGGGTCTATGTTCGGGTCTAAAGGGATGGGGACTGAATGTGTCCGAACTAAGTGGGTGGGGTCCTTGGCCACACCCAAGGTGGATGGGTTTGAGTCCAGGTCCTGAAAAATGACCCAAAACAAGTGGATCCCATGATTAGTGCTTAAAAGTATGTTTGGGCCCAAGGGGGTTGGGTCCATAGTCGGACCAAAAAAGGTTAGGGGATGAGTTGGGTTCCTGTCCGAACCTAAACGGGTTTGGGTTTGGGTCCCTCCGAGTGTGGACCTAAATGGTTTGGGTCTATATTTGGACCTAAGGGGGTTGGGTTCGTCATGTCCAAACCCTAGTGTGGTTGGGTCTGTGTCTGAACCCAATGAGGTTGGGTTTATGTTCGGGTCTAAAGGGATAGGGACTGAATGTGTCTGAACCAAGTGGGTGGGGTCTGGCCACACCCAAGGTGGATGGGTTTGAGTCCAGGTCCTGAAAAATGACCCAAAACAAGTGGATCCCATGATTAGTGCTTAAAAGTGCATTTTTATCAAGGTTTTATTTTATCATTTTGTACTTGAAGTATTAATAACTTCTTAATTAAAGCATGTTTAATAATAACATATCTAATAATATAAGATACCTTTAATTTATGGTAAATATTCATCTTAAATGTAGGCCCATTATATAAATGAAATAATTGATTGATGAATTTAAGTACTGAAATTGAAAGGACAAAGAAATGACCAAATTTAGATAAGAGATGCTGGTGCAGTCCAAACTGCAACACTATTTGGTAATTGGGTCATATATGGAGTTGTAGATCTTGAATTTAGATTTACTTTATATAGATAGAAAGGTAAAACATAGGCCTACAACTTTTATATGGAGGTTTGGTTTTAAAAAGTTTGTTTTCAAGTCCAAATTGTAGCAACAACAAAGAAGTCTAAATTTGTCTTGCAGCCCAGACATTGTTTAGTGTTTAGCCCATATCTTGAGTTCTAAAAGTCCAAATGACTCAATTGTTTTTTCTAGAAAGCTGAGAATTTTCTAGAATTTTCATGTAGAGGTCTGGTTCAAATCATGATGTTATCAATGACGTTTTATTCAAACAAGAGAAGATAATGATTGTCGCCAAGTCAAGAGTTGGTCATCCACTCATCAATTAGTCACCAAATCAATAGTTCCCAATTTTAGCCTATAAAAGGAGGCATTTGCCATGTATTTAGGCATCTTGGTTTCTAAATCAAGATCATGCTCGTGCTTTCTCTCTTTGTATTTTTATAATACTCAAGTTTTGCTCTTATTAATATCTTATTTATACCTTTTAATTCCTTTCCTTTACTTAGTTAACTTTTATGTTCTTATTTTGTTTATCTATTTTGCTTTCTTTCATTATGTCTAGCTAAGTTAATTATGTCAAGGTGAAAAGGTTACACTAATGGCGTAAGAATAAGTATAATGTAAACTTAATATGGACCTTAATATTCGATACTAACATGTTTTATATTTAATATTATACTAATGATGTAAGAATAGGTATAGTGTAAACTCAACATGGACCTTAATGTTTGATACTAACATGTTTTATATTTGTTATCTTCTTCACTCTTTAATACTTTGCTTGTTAAATAACTAATCTAGATTTATGTTGTATAACATTCGGTATAACTAATGTTTGGCACTTTTATAGCTCATATTGTATGGTATAA